TATTTGTCTTGAAAGTTAATTTTGTCACCGTGTTTGACTTTTCATAGATAGTTTGACTTTGACTTTGTTTACTTGTTTGACCCTATATAAAGGGTGAGTCTTTGTATTTTGTGAGGGATTCTCAATTGTAATATCATTACGTAAATAAAAGATTTGACCAAGATTAGATGATATTGACTTTCTCTCTCAACTCTCATTGTGTTCTTACAAGAAATATCAAGATCTGCCATTGATTCAATGAAGCTTTCATGAAGATTGATTGTTAGGGACTATCACGTTGTTTCAAAGATGAGGGGAAAAATTCCCGGTATTAGCCTCACGTCGAAACATGTACAAAACACGATTAAACGGCTAAAAGATAAGTATTATGCCGCTTATGATATGTTGAATACAAGCGGATTTGGATGGAATAACGCAAATCAATGCGTGACTGTAGAAGCTCCCGAGATTTTGGAGGAGTATCTAAAGGTTAGATATTAGTAATAGTAATGGGTTATATATAATACTTTTTGTTACTTCTCTTAATAATTGTTTATTTGTTTTTTGTCGTAGAAACATCCCAACAAAAAATACATGGCGAATAAGCCATTCCCAGCTTACGAGCGGTTGAAGTTGGTGTTCGAGAAAGATCGAGCAACGGGAAATATGGCTGAATCAGCTACAGACGCACTACAGAATATGAATATGGAAGACAACGAAGATTTTTCAACTGAATTTGGTGTTCCTCCCTTTCCAAGTTCTTCAGATACAACTTCTCCTTCCTTCATTCCTCCAACTGAAGGAGAAGAAACAAGAAAAAAGAGAAAAAGGACAACCGAGTTATCAATGATGGTGGAAGCAACCAAGAATTTGATCGATAAAGCAACCACCCAAATGAAAAAGTTGGCTTCGGTCATTTCGGATTCTACACCCGAAATGGATGGCTTGAGAGAAGAGTTGAGACAATTTAGGCTTGGGGTGATTGAAATCATTCAAATGGGTAAGTACTTTGCGGACAAACCAGCCCAATTTCAGTTTTGGAAGAGTTTGGATGATTATATGAAAATAGAATTTGTGAAGTCAATTTACGATGACATCAAGTAATGTGTTTTAGGAGATGATGAAAACGGTTATCCTTTTGTGATATTTTTGGTACATTTGACATATTTTAGGAAATGATGAAAACGATTGTTCTTTTGTGATATTTTTGGTACATTTGACATATTTAATAGATGATGAAAACGATTGTCCTTTTGTGATATTTTTGGTACATTTTGACATATTTAGGAGATGATGAAAACGATTGTCCTTTTGTGATATTTTTGGTTCATTTGACATGTGTTATTGGAATGTTAAACTTTTGATAATGTCATGACGAAGGTTACAACTGAATTTGTGGTATGACAAATGTTATTTACATGTGGTCTTGGAATGTTAAAAAAATGTGGGTTGAATAACATGTCAAAATGGGTAATATTTAATGTATTAAACTTGATTATAAAAACTTGTCATTTTTTTGGATTTATATTTAATGTATTAAACTTGATTATAAAAACTATGTAATTAAAATATATTTTGGTTGATTTGTTCTCATTTTACAATCATTATATGATATAAAATAACATTGAACAACATTTAAGGGTAATATGGTCATTTTAATAGTTTTGTCCTGTCCTGTCCTAATCGTACCAAACATGGGACAAACAATTAGTCCTGTCCCGTCCCGTCCCATCCGGTCCAGTCCAGTTTGCGTACCAAACACTACCTAATGGATCGTATTGGGCTTTAACGGACCGTATTTGCTTTAATGGACCGTATTGGGCTTTAACGTACCGTATTGGGCTTTAACATACCGTATTTACTTTAATGGACCGTATTGGGTCTTAATGGATCGTATTGGGCTTTAATGAACTGTATTGGGTTTTGATAGGCCGATTGGACATTAATGGATCGTATTGGCCTTTAATGGATCGTATTGGGCTTTAACGGACCGTATTTGCTTTAATGGATCGTATTGGGCTTTAATGGATCGTATTGGGCTTTAACGTACAGTATTTGCTTTAATGGACGTATTGGGCCTTAAAGGATCGTATTGGGCTTTAATGGACCGTAATGGGGCTTTAATGAACTATATTGGGTTTTGATAGGCCGATTGGACATTAATGGATCGTATTGGGCTTTAATGGACCGTATTGGGCTTTAACTTACCGTATTTGCTTTAATGGATCCTATTAGGCTTAATGGATCGTATTGGGCTTTAATGAACCGTATTGCGTTTTGATAGGCCGATTAGACATTAATGGATCGTATTGGGCTATAATGGATCGTATTGGGCTTTAATAGATCATATTGGGCTTTAACAGACCGTGTTTTCTTTAATGAACCGTATTGGACTTTAATGGATCGTATTGGGCTTTAACATACCGTATTTGCTTTAATTGACCGTATTGGGCCTTAATGAATTGTATTGGGCTTTAGAACTCAATGATTATCCTAATTATATTTTAGACTTTTTATATTTAAAATAAGATGTTTATCTTGTATTTGATTATGTTTATCTGCAATTAGTTACACGAATTCAGATAT